AGAATAATAGACATATGAATATAATGTGAATAGTCCTCAAAGGTATAAAATGAAATACAAAAATCCTTCTATTATATTCTTCTAGTTCCTTTTCTTCAGAGACAATCATTTTAGGTTTACTCTATTTTTAATTCTTCTGTTGATCAGTATCCAATTGTGAATATAATACACTAAACTTTATTTTTGGATATTTGTTCTTATATAACTTAGAGTCTTCATTGTGAAAATGAAAAAATTAACTTTGAATATTGCTCACCTTGTTCTCTTTTTATTTGTTACTGGTTTTAAGTTTAAAACTTTGAAATGTTGGACCATCACCTTTGAAACTACTAAGATATTATCTCCAAGCTTGCTACTTTGTAAGCTGTGGACATTTTAGTTCCCTTGCCTTGAATTCCTCACATTCCCTTCATAGATTTGTCAACTCTATTATTTATTGTATATTGTCAAGGTTCGTAGTACTTGAACTTGTTGATTCAGAGGAACAATAAATAACATTGATCCTGCTGAACTTGTGCCATGATAGTATCCTTGAAGAAAAATAGATTTGTTTACCTCTTGGTACTTGAGTAATCGCTAGTCTTTCTCTAGTTTGGATCATGATTGTTTTTCTTGAGCTTTCTTTTTTCTTCTTGTTTTGATATGTTGAGATGGAGTCATTCCATGTATCCCAGACAGGGGATACAGGGTGACTTCAACTTGTGTTCCTTCTGCCTCAGTCTCCCAAATTTAGGATTGTAGGCATGTGCCATAGTGCCTGGCTTTTCCTGGACATTCTAATGACCATGTTTTCCCCGTTTGTTCAAGAGTTACGTACCTTATTATCTCATCACCTGGTTATTCAGCATTTTCATCATATTTGAAGTACTAATATATACTGTTTTCTGGATGTGGTGCCCAGCTGATACTGTATGATTTAATTCTCTATCATGAGAGAGTTCCATGCTTTCGTGAGTCATTTTATAGTTTTCTAGACTATCTCCTGAACTAATTTTTTTTTCAGGAGGAATGTATATGGATACTTGACAGCATAATATTTGAAACTGGCCTTTCATGCCTGGTACATACCTAGGCTAGGCAGAGAAGTCATGTTTAAATTGTTTATATGCAGATTTTTGAAGGTTGCATGCCTTTACTTTAAGTAACCATTTTACTGATGAGAGGTTTGATGCGTGTGAATGATTTCTTTGTAGCAAACCCATTGAATTACAGTCTTATTTTGCTCATTGTGTTCAAAGGTGCACCCTTAGAAGGTTTAGGTATATCTTTCTTTCCGTAAAGTTTTTTTTAAAATTAAAATTATCTTTGGTTATTTCTTCTCTTATATATTCTCTGTATTAGTTTCTAAATGAGTCTAATATTGGAAAAATTTTCTTCTATTTTCCATGTATTTCTAGAAAAAAGGAGAGAAAACCTTTTTTCCTGAACTTTTCCTTGACTTTTTCTTCTAGCCTGTTACTGAATTATTTCAGCTATTACTTTATATTTCTAGAAATTCTTTTTTAGTTCATAGTCACCTGCTCTTAAAATACTTCATTGTATGAACTCAACAGTTTTTTTTTTTTTTTGAAGTTCTACTCTTTGAGTAAGTACTTCAGTTTCTTTATTACGTTTTTTTTTCTTGAAGGTGGTTGTTTTCAGCTGTCTCATGATAGCATGCTTGCCTTGAAAGAGGACTGGGTTTACTGGTAGCACCCTTTATTTTTACCATTTTCCCTGCTTTTGACAGATTAGATTTCTTGAATTAGAATATGTGACAGTAGTATTTAACTGTACTCTTGAAAGCATTACTTGAAATACTAGAGTAAATCAAATTTGGCACTCCTCATTGTTTATTCCTCTATAAATTTTGAGTATTTTAACAATAATTTTGTGTTTTGATCAAATGAATTTTACTATATAGCCTGCTGAATCGCTTTCTTTTGGCTTCAAGGATTTCTGTCCCCCAAAGCATTGTTATTTATCCTGGACAGATGGTTATCTCCTGAACTTTAGTATATGTGTTTGAAACCATCCGCCTCATTTATCTCACAGTGTGCTTGTAAGCTTTATGAGGTATGAGTGTGGAGAAGTGTCTTCAAATTATTTATTCTAGTGCTAAGATTACAAAAAGTTATAATGAAATTAAATTCATGACTGAGGATGTAGCTCTGTGATTGTTCAGTAGTAGAACACATGCTTTCCACGTATGAGGCCCAGGGTTCAGTTCCTAGCACTGAAAAAAAGTAATGTAGTTCTTACTTTGAATATTAGTCTTGTTTCTTAAGCCTGTCTGTTTGAACCAGTTCTTGATAATGTAGCTCCTTTCTAGATGCCATTTGATTTTGTTTGTACTTTTAATGTGACTAAGTCCCAGAAAAGAGAGGGGAAAGGGCTAAATATTGATACTATATAGGATAAATGCTTTCTCAGTCTTGGTTTTTAGAGGTTAAATCAATAATGAAACCATCTTTTCTTGTACTTTTCTGTAGCAGTTGAAGACAGCGAGATTGATTGAGATGGCAGCAAACACTACATTATTGGTACAGAATTAATAATAATAAAAACTATTACAAAGAATAGGCTAAATTAGTACTTGGATTTTATTCCATAGTGGACCTAAGAGAGTACCTTACAACATGGCTGTGCATTATCATAGGAGCCATTGGTATGTACAGAAAATGATTATTATTTTGTTTTAAAAGTAGCTTATAGGTATGTTCTAGGTAATTCCAGATCTCTTAAACTAGATGTTGAAAGTTTTGCTTCGAGTTTTCTTAGTTTATTTTATTATAGCTACTGGTAATATTTGCTATGGAGAAACATAGTTCATTAGTAAAACAGGAGATTTAATGAACTTAGAAGGTTT